CCCAAACGGGGGTCTTCAAAAGAGGCCGTAAAAGGGGGTTTAAAAGGAGCTCAACGGGAGGATTCAAAGGGAGGCTTTAAAGCAGCTTGGATCGCTGGACAGACTGCTAGATGTCTCGATAGATGGATATCGGGTAGATACACATACATACCTGCTTACCTATTTGGACCTACCTACCTGCATACATAATTACGTACATGCATACGCACATGCTTTCTACGTACATACAGACATGCATACATACATACACACTCACGTACATGCACACATACGTACATCACACTTGTGGATGCACGTACGTACACAAATTCATGCAAACCTATCATATATATATATATATATACATATATACACATAGATACATGATCTGGAGGAGTCGTTGCTGCAAGACGCATACGGCATGTCAAGGACACGCATTGCGGCAGGACGTGGAAAACTTCAAAAGGCGATTGCATTTCATCCACGTGCAGCTAGACCAGCAAAGCCCTAAACTTTCACAGGCAAGGTTGGGTTTGGCTGCCTGGTCGTGTACACGTCTCTCTCTAAGGCCGGAGACGATGAGTGCCTTGGACAGGCACAAGAACAGCAAGGGGTGAAGATGCTTTAGCTTTAGCTGCTGCGCAGTGGTTGCACCTTCTTTGCCAGGCGTTTAAGGGAACTGGCTGAGGGTCGTCCGAAAGAGCATCGTGTCTTCTACCTAGCCCGCAGCTCAGTGACTGACGACTCCCAGAACTACGCAGAACCCCCAAAGTCTTTCAAGGCCTTGCCGCCCTTCCTTTTTGCACAAGCCGTCGAGCACTTGCGAGAGCGTTCGAGGCTAAGAACTCGCCTGCTCAGGCTAAGCATCGTGTGACTTGGTGCATAACCTTGAGGATGTTGGTCGGATACCGGTTGGAACCGTGTGGTGGTTGAAAAGCCCTTTGGCAAGAATGGCCGCTTGTCATAATGTTGCCCGTGGCTATATGCGAGCTGTCTCAGAGTGCTTGTCCTTGAGGTGGCGAAGCAGCTGCACTGTCAAGCAGCCCCTCCCTCGGCTCGACTTGGGCAATCCAGTGTCCTTGTTGAACGTTTTTGTGCTTGCAATGTATTTTGAAATGTGGTGCATGCACCTGGCGCAGGAGTAGTTGCAAGATGCATAGGAATGTCGGAAGATTGTGCGGCATGACTTGAGGTTCCATGGCATCAGGGCAAGTGTCATGCATAAGAATCTTTGTAGGATGAGCACTCCTGAAGCGCAGCGCAATGCCCCTGCCGAAGAAGCCCTCTTTGCTGCCCTGGCGAAGCATCCTCGCCACACGTTGGGGGTTGGCAGCCATCCTCTGCCAGATAGGACTCGTGTGGAAGGGCTCTTTGATTGGGACGCAGTTGCATCCGAACTGGGTGGAGGGCGGGGAAGCAAAGATGCCTTGGATGAGACCTTCGGCGCGGTGAAGGATGGCAAGAGCCCGGGTCGGCCTGGGCTCTTGCAGACCCGAGTGCGTCGTGTCGGGCCGAAGGGCTTGAGAGATCCCTTGGCCAGGTCTCGCCTGGGAGTATTGGTTATCCCAAACTTTGTCCAGGAAGCCGAGGAGGCTCACATATTGGCTCACGCAAAGACGGAGGTCCACTGGGAGCCGCGAGTTGGAGGTGGCTACCATGCAAGCTTTGGCCCAACATTCTTACCAGATTCGGGTTACCAGGTAGACCGCACCAAAGCTTTCACGGCCTTGCCAGGGGTGCTTGACTCCGTGAAGGCACGTGCAGAGAAGTTGCTTGAGTCCCCAGCTCTCAGCGAGAGTGCTTTCCTGAAGGCATGTTGCGAGTCAGATTCTCTGGGCTGGGAGAGCTGTGGGCCATTGCCAGAAGTGCTTTTAGAAGCCCGGCGAGCACTCGCAGAATTTGCGATGAGTCCGTCAACACGCGCCGGCCGCCAGGGTCCTCTGAGCCAAGCCTTCCTGCAGCGCTACGAAAGCTCCGCCCAGTCCGACGAAGCCGCTCAGAGCAAAACGCAAGCTCTGGGCATGCATTTCGACTCCCGCAGTGCAAACGGGGAGGTCGTGGTCGGACTGAGCTTGGGAGAGGACGACGGGCACATTTTCTTTTCTCGCTCCGGACCTGCGAAGGGCCAACCGTTCCCACTGAGCCTGGCGAAGGATTTAGAAGATCGAGGCGAAGGGATTCTCGTGCAGCTGCCTCGAAGGCACGGGCTTCAAACTGACGTGTAAGCAGGCTTAATGCTCATCCCCCGATCAAATCAGTGTGCGCTTAGCCTTCCTTCGGTTCTGTCGATCAGTCTCGGACAGAGAGAGACAGAGAGACAGAGAGTGGCGAGAGAAAGAGAAAGGGGTTTTGGGCCTGAGTTGCCAGCACGCATGTGCCCAGTCTCACACCGAACACGAACCAAGGCGTAGCGCTCGCGTGCGCAGGGGTTATGGTGTCCGACCCCATGCCCCAAACGCCCTGTAAGCAAGCAAGCAAGCAAGCAAGCAAGCAAGCAAGCAAGCAAGCAAGAAAGAGAGAGTGTGTAAGGACCTCGGAGGCCTTGTCCAGTAGTGATCTCGAACAGTGCCAAACCTCCGAATTCCTCAGCAAAGATATGGGAACCGATCAAGCTGGTCTTCCGCTCCATGGCTGACTGGCTGCCAACACTTGCAGCTGCAGTCAAGGGAAGCTCAGGGGCCCGTGTACACGCCTCTCAGACCGGTCAGACCCGACCCGACATGGCTGAAAGTAGCCCATCCGAAAGTCATCGAAAGTGTCTCGACTGTGTCCCCAGCTGATCCCGACAACCCGTTAGTGGGCCTGGGCTGTGCAAAGCGCGTGAGTTGGGTTAAAACTTGCCGCCCAGTCTCGCCAGGCCGAGGCTTGGGTTTTGATGAGTCGCAACCCCAACTTGCAGTTACTGGTAGAGCCTGAAAGCGAGGTTGGACGTAAACCTCAGGCTGGAGTTGCTGCCATGCCCGCATGTTGTGACTGTGGTTTAGCTTTCCCGACTGCGATACTACTTCGTCATCTGTGTAGCTGGTACTGTATTCATTACTATTGTTCTGGTTCAGCGGAGTTCGCGATACTCAGCGAACAATTGTCAGTCGCGCAAAAGGGGAGCCAAGAGCATAGTTGAAGGGGTACTTCTCTTTGTCTTTACATTACGAGGCCATCACGGAGAGTGGCTTCTAGAAGTCTCCCAGATATTCGCAGCTAGATCCTTCCCAGTGGATGAAACAGCTGTTTTACAAGTGGTCCTCCCAGTAAGGTAACATTGGCTCTTTCGACCATGGTCGATTTTCAACAACAGGCCCGAGTTAAGACAGTTGTCAGACTAACGGCGAACGGACCTTAACGTCGGTAATCAGTTTAAATGTCATCTCACCCTTTGTTCGATTCGGTCAGGGCGTTATACCTGTTCTTCGGCTTTGCGCGCTTTCATCTGCGGCATGGTGTGCCCTGGCACAATCCTGCAGCACCAGGATGCTACCAGAGGGTCACTGTGACTTTTCGCAGTGTTCCGGTCCCCCGTGGCCAGAACAGGCATGCTGAAGGTGAAGGCAAAGAACGCAAGCAATTGCGGTTGCACGACGTGCTGGATTCCTTTGCCTTCAGGGGCGCAGCCAAGCGAGCGAGACTTGTGCCAGGCTGCTTTCCGGGAGCCCTGAATCTTGGCGTGCTGCACAATGTCACAGACAGAGAATGCATTGACATCGACTCGAGTGATTGCGAGACTGCGAAAGGATAAGCGAAGCTCGAGTCTCTCGTATCTACCATAGGGAGCCCCGTGCCAAAACGTGCACACAGGCCTGAAGAAGTACCTTGACGAGAAGGAGATTTTCCGCATGGATCACTACCTCGCGAAGACTTTGGTCATGCTCTCAAAAACAGGTAACCCAAACAGTGTTTCAAATAATCTCTGGGACGTAATGGCGACCGCTGGTTCTCGCCAAGGTCTTGAATCTGTTGACTTTGCGCTTCGCGAATCGCGTGGGCCAGACTTGTTTGGATTGACATTTGCGCAAACAAGCAGTGCAGTGTTCAACTGAAGCTCCAAGCTGGGAATGGACTCCAGGAATTGGGACATCTTTTCCATTGCCATCATGTAGCAAATGCGCGGATGCTCTGATCAGAGATGTCGTGCTGCTGAGAATTACGATGTGTTGGACTTGAGGTCAGGATAACTTTCAAAGAGGCGATCGGCGTGCAGGGGCGTTGGTTTCCCAGTGCTTCCATGTCCTCCCAGCTATCGATCGTAACATGCAGATCAGCTCTGGACACAGGTGCAGGCTATTTCGATGGCTACGGCATCATCCGCGACATTATGCAGCAGCTAACCCAGCGCTGGCATTCGCACAGCAATGTTTACCCCTTGTGCCCTTCAAGCTGGAAGTAATGCACAGACCGTCAGATGCTGTCATGCTCACTCCAGTGCAGGGTTGTTGGAGTGTTTCTGGAGTGCAGGAGCGGTTCCTCTCAAGGCAAAAGTGTTTTCGAAGAGCATCTACTGTTTGCTTTTTGTTGCTGGGGGCATCAGATATCTTGCTTGTCCTGTCCGAAGCTATGGCACATATCAAACGTTAAATCGAGACAGCCCAAAAACAGTTGCAAACGCGTCCTGAGTGGAATCCAAGAACTCAAAGGAGCACAGCTTCTCTACAGTACTTGGTGTCGGTGGTCTTTGCAACTATGTGTTCTACAAGCAGATGTCATTCATCACTTCCGACATTTGTGGCACATCGAGACTGCACAGTCGCAATTGGTGCACGTGCACGAGCAGCCGCTGGGTATTGCGGGCTTTTGTGTAGCAGTGGGTCGGAGACCATTACGACAATCGAATGCAACTATCCGGCGGCGAGCCGAACTCATTTCATCATATTTTATCAAGCCTTTTCGTCCTTAAAATCCTAAAGTGCAAGGGTACGCGCGGCATCGTGCAGCCGTGCAGCGCCAAGGAAAGCCGAAAGCAAGGATTCCGTATCAACTTACTACGTGACGTATAGGGCAAACTGACAGTTAAAGTTGAGCTGCAAGGCTCAGACGTGAAATTAGAAGGTGGCCGGGTCAGAGAATGTGTAGGATCGTAGTTTGAAAGCAACGAACGGCAAAGCACAGGTAAATCAAACATAATAACAAGCTAAACTAAAATAAAGCATCGAAGCAGATGTATTCTGGCTGGTGCAAGACCGTTTGTCTTCGCGGAATGTTTAGCCTGCTGCGGCCATACCGAAGAGATATGTTCGCGTGCGCCGGCTCTGCTTTGTGGTAAGGGTGCCGTGTGCCTTTTTTTGCCTTGTCTGAGCTGCGTCCTACCCCCACTGCGGTTACAGTAGCTTTGCGTGACCAGCCTGTGTCACCGGGACCTGGCATCCGCCTTGGTTTGCATTTTTTGCCTTTGTTGTTTTACCAGTGGTTTCTTTTTCTTCACACATGCTCAGGATTTGTTCATTACTCGGGGATTCGGGAACCGCCAACTCAACGGGCAACTTGAGCCACTTGACCGCTTGTTGAGTTCTGCATGATGCTACGTCTGTTCAGGGATGGGCACCGCCGCTTGTACCACCTGCTTGTGCCACGTCAGGAGTTGGCTCCACTTGTGCTAAACCCGGGGTTTGCTTTTTTTCGGGTTTTGAGGGTTTTGATGTTTTAGTAATTAGGGTTTGGGGATTCAGGGTTTCAAGTTTACGGTTTTAGTAGGGCTTAGGGTTTAGGTCCAGTTTTGGGATTCAGGATTTCAGGGTTTAGGGTTTTAGGGTTTAGGGTCTGGGGTATCGTTACTAGCACCAGGTTACACCTACTAAATAGCAGTACTGAAGCCTTGACTGCAAGTGGCACAAGCGAAAACAAGTGGGGCAAGTGTGGTAAAACTCGGACCCAATAGCTCGGGAGGTCCAACTGGCTCAAGCGGCCAAGCGGCAGAAATCAGATACCGGTTCCCGAATCCCTGCGCACTGCTCTTTTGTTTTTTTTTGCTCCTGAGCCCATCCCATCGCCCAACATGCTGCAAAGCTGCAGAAAAGCGGCTGGAAGACTGCTTCTAGGGTGCCGGGGAGCCGTCTGCGAGAACAGGTGCAGCAGGCAATGCAGCAACAGCCTGGCATGGAGTAGCGTGGTACTGTAACTGTAATTAGGCGCATGAGAGCGTTGCAGGTGGCTTTGATTTCCCCTATTCTGTAGCTTTCCTGTTGAGTTGGAAGCACTCACTCAGTAGCTTGTTTGTAGTGTTTTTGTTGACAGCCTTTTCTTTCATATATACTATATTTATATATATATATATACATACATCGGTTGCGCATATATATATATATATATATATATATATATATATATATATATAAATATAAATAAATAAATAAATAAATATATATATATATACAGATATATGTATACATACATACCATTCCTCCCGTTCCAAAGCTGGAGAGCCTGAACTCCTACAACTTTCAATCATTCAATCCTTGCTCCTTTGCACCAAGGAATCACCTCATGCAAGTGCTTACCCTGGTTGCCATGGAGGCAGGATGCAGCGAAGATTCGTCCTGATGTTATCCTCTCTTTTCTCGGGCGTTTCTTGTCTTCGAAGAGTATCGAAGAGTTACTGACGTGGCAGCTCAACATCCACGCAGTCCGCAGCCCTCGAGGCCCCGGCTACACTCGAAGCTGAAGATGTTCGGGACGAGAAGGCTCCAAAAGCGCAGGGTTCTTCGGTTCGTGAGCAGAAGCCAGCGGAAATCATAGTATGCATCTGTCCCAGTCCACACATGACATCTGCCGTGGCGAAGGTGAAGGTGTTGAAGCAAATCAGGCCCATCTCACCACGTCTTCTCCTCAATGCCTGTGCACCTGATCTCAATGCCCATCTGATCGACGATCACCTCAGGTGATTGTGTAATCGGCCAGTACGCGTCTTTCATGCAAGCAGTACTCGCTCCCTTCTCCTGCTATGCTGTATTGGGCGGTTGGGCATGTCAGGAAGGCTACCAGACGGACCCTGACATCCAAAAGATCAATCTCAAGCAAGGCCGTCCTGCTGCCGCTCGTCATTGCACTTTCAAGAAGTCGGCACAAAGGCTACGCGTCTCGCTGCCCGACGTTCGCAGTCGCAGTGCTCTACTTGGACAACGAACGCTGGTCATGCACCTCAGTCTCAGTCCGATGGAGCCGTTGCCTTGCATGTCAGCTCGAGCCAACGGAGGTCTGGAGTTCCATTCATCATGAAAGCCGGCAAAGGCCTGTGGAAGTCGGGATCACCAGGCACATGTTCTGCGGTCGGAGAGGTCTGGAGGTTCAACAGACCATTGTGCGCATACAGCACGCGCCTGAGCCGAGAGCCCGAGTTTAAGGTGAGACCGTGGCACAGTGGCTGCAATCGCTGCAGGTTCAAGAAAGCTCCTCCAAGCAGCCTCTTTGGTGCCTCCCTCCCAGTTGCTGCAAAGGCCAAGGCGGCCAAGGGTCGAAGGCTCTTGTGGATGCAAGGAGCAACCTCAAAACGAGCTGGTGATCCGGATCCAGCCCAACGAGGCCATCTACTACAAGGCTGGGACGCCGCCAACGCAGCGGGGCCGGCCATGGCGAAGAGTGGCCCCACATGTGGCCACGCAGGAATCCTTTAGTAGCGTAGTAGAGAGAGAAACAGAGAGGGGATGCGCTCCAGATAGAGGTCTGCCTGAAATCCGTACCACTATTGAAAGAGACTGTAGTACGGGAAACTGCACTTTGGAGAATTACCGTTTGTGAGGAGCTTCAAGAGGGGGGAAACACCAACCTCCAAGCACCCTCGTTTTCTTTAGAAAGCAGCTGTCCCCACACACTGTGATACTTGCTGTCGCCTTTGTCTCTTCCATCGGTCTTGGCCTACTGCACTATCCTTAGCATTGTCTTGCTCATGTACATGTTACCCAGGGGAGCTGCATCAACACAAGGACCACACATGGGGGAAAGCGTCCGGTGAGCGACTAAGGACTTAGCTTAAGAGGGCGCGGCGATGAGGCCGAGACGTGCGGGATAGTGTAAAGGGTTTGGGGTTATGCACCGGAGGACCTCCACATGCCGTACAGTCCTCGGGGAACAACCCCGTGTCAGTGACCCCAATGCCCCTCCACAAACAGGGAAGGAAAGGGGGGGCCTCGGCCCGGGTCTTCGGACCTTGCCGCTGAAGCGAGCGAGCGAGCGAGGGGACGAATCCTTGTGAAGACTAAGCAAAGCAGAGAGAGAGAGAGGGCGGACATTTCGCTGTCTGTAGCGAGGGTGTAACATACTCCTGTGCAACCTGCAACAGAACATGCTTCCCTGAAAAGGAGGAAACGACAACCTCTGCTTCACTGTAAAGCCGAGCCTCCATGGGAGTCAAAACCTGCCGGGGCCGGACTTCCCGGCACTCCCTACCTCGTAGTGGGTCCCCTCAATTGACCTGTTCCCCAGCTTGTTTGCTACCTAGTCATTCTCTGCAAGTTTGCAGTTGGCGGTCTCGCATGGGACTTCTGAAAGGGCAGGAACTCTGTTTGCTGCTCCTTTGAGGGTGGGTGGCTGCCGAGGGATGCAGTTGAACTGCGAAGTCCGATTTGCATTGTCAGCCTTTCACTCTTGGCATCCGGAATAAGCGGGGCTGCACTATGGCCGAGGGGAGGTGTCGCTCCCCTTTCCCCAGCCCGGGCGAATAAGACGAACGACGGCTTTCGTTTGTGATATATTGCAGCTTTCTAAAACGAGATCACCCGAGGGAGTGTCGTTTGTCGAAGCTCGCTCCAATAGGGGAACGCGCGGGATGGGGGCACCATAAGGAAGCAGATCAAGCATATGATTCGATGCAGTCCTATCTAAAGTCGAGGCCGAAAGCGTTTGTGCGGCACGACACCGCCAGATGATTCACAGCTTTTCAACTGCTTGCTGTAGCTCTTACGGCTTTTGTAGGGCGATGCTTTGGGATCCTTGCATTAACATATTCGTCATGACCATTGCATTCCGAAGGACTGCTAGTACTCTTGTGTTTGTCATAGAATCCATCCGACAGCACGATGTAGAGTCACGGCCATTTCGGGTGTGAGATAGTCGGATGGAAACGAGACAGGAAACAAGATCCAAATCATTGACGGAGTCGGCCATACATGGTCAGGCGTCTGGCGTTCCGCGTGTGCGGAAAGGCTGCCACTGGATGGTGGGGTGGTGCTGGCGGCCAGGGCTCACGCGCAAGCCCTTCGCAAGCAAGCCGTAAACCCTATAACGCGGCGCGTGCCCCTGTTTTGAGCAACCTTTAGTTACTTGCAACAAAGCTTGCCGACTTGCAAGACTTATGTCAGGAGACGTCTGCCAAAATGGCTCTGCCATTTTGGCCCAAGATCGTGGACCGTGGGTCCTTCAAAATTTGAAACCGCTCCCGCTTTCTCCCTTGCGACTTTCGACCATGGCACTCGCCCCCGTTGCTAATGTCGATGACGTCTTGGCCTCCAGCATGGAGACGGTTGAGAGTTTGATCCCCCCTCGCGACACAGGGGACAGTGATCAGGAATGGGAGAAGCCGGACGACGAGGTTGCTTTGGCCCGTGCTACCTTGGCCCACAATGTCCATGCCCACGAGGATGAGTCGGCCAATTCGGCATTGGCTTCCTTCACGACTTTGGAGGTGGATGACACCAGCATGGACTTGCGACTCCAGGAAATGGAAGCTGCCATGAAAAGGCTGTTGGCCAAGGGCAGCGAGATGGTGGCGGTCACGGAGGACACCACCGTGGACACCACGGGATCGGAGGTGCCCAGCACAGGTGACTTTGTCCCTGAGGGTGCTGCTACTGATGACCCCATGGACAAGCCGGCGGTGCCAACCACAGGTGACTTTGTCCCTGAGGGTGCTGCGGTGGACGACCCCATGGATAGGCCCGAGGTGCCAACCACAGGTGACTTTGTCCCTGAGGGCGGCGACACGGCGGCCAAGGATGATGCCACCAGGCCCCGGCCCCACTCGGCCCTGCCCGCCGGCTCCCTGGAGGAGAAGGTCTTCAAAATTGAGGGCTTCCCGGACAACTTCCCCGGCATCGGCAAGAAGAGTGCAGACTGGGCCCAGCAATTGACAAAGGAGGAGATCGCCTCCTTGTTCTCCGAGCTCAAGGCGGAGCAGTGGAGCCGCCCGGCTGTGGAACGAGTCCTTGAGGTGTACCAAATCTACGACAGCTGGCACAGGAGAAGATGCTGGCCGCCCCCTACAACCGTGCTCGCAGAGGAGTGGGGCACAGCAGCATGGGCCAACTTGACCCGGGCAGCACGGGGGCTACCCTCATGTGCCCGAACTGCTTCTCCGACTGGCAGGGTGGAGGGGAAGTGTAAGCTGTGGACAAGGGCCCGCCTTCGGCAGAGATCAAGCTAGGCCAGTCCTCCTGGCGAATGTTTTGTGGCCCCAAGGGTGTCACGTGGCACACGGATGCAGACGAGGCCCAGAAGGAAGCCGCCTCCGTGGACATTGGCTCCTGGGCCCAGCCGCCACCCAGGCCCACGGATCAGAAGGAGCTGAGCTTTGCCGACCAGGTGCCTATGGCCCTGAGGCTTAGCTTGGCTCACACGGTGGCAACACAGCCCTTCGACGAGGTGCAGTTTGCCGACAAGGAGGCAGGGGACAGACCCCACCTCCGGGGTGATTGGCAACCAAGCCAGGAGACCAGGGCTTTCCATCCCCAGCTGGCGGCGGCGATGGACATCACCAAGAAGAGCTCGGGCCCGGTGGACAAACAGCCCAAGAAGCCCACGGAAGAGGAGTTCTTGGATCACATCAACCCCCAGCTGGATGTGATCGTGGAGATGCAGGCGGGTGCACAGAGTGTCGAGGAGGCAAAGGGTGCGTCAATCCTCCGGCAGCTGGATACAGAGAAGCTTCGTTCCCTCCTTAAGCGAAATTACCTGCAGGGCCCTGGGAACCAGGGTGACGAGTTTTTCGCTGCGCAGACTAGCCTGGAAGAGGCCAAGGCCTCGAACAAGCGCATGCAGGATGAGGGATCCCAGCGCTCCCAGCTCCTTCGGCCGGTGGCGGACTCCATTGATGCCTGGGGCACCCAGCTGCGCGCGGCCCTGGAGATGAACGTGTTCAACCCGGAGTGCCCACTCAAGGATATGGAGCTTGACGACATCGAGGCCCTTAAGGAAAGGTACTTGAACACGAAGTTCCTGCTGAACCAGAGCAGGAATCCGTTCCCTGCCTCTCTTCTGCAGGAGCTTCCCACTTTGGCCGCTCTGCAGCGTGAGGGTGAGCGCGTCGCCCGGGACTCCGGCGAGGGGCTGTCTTCCACAGGTGCCTTTGGCCCTGAGGAGCAGTCCCCGGAGGCAGTTCGGGGTGGGCTCGGTCGAGTTCCAGATGCTTCGCCTCAAACGTATCATCGAGCTGCACATGGGGGAGCAGCGCATGATCGGGGGCAGATGGAAGCAGCACCCGGGGCCCCTTGAGCCCCCTACGTGGGCAAAGCCCCTGCCCGAAGGGGAGAAGATCATGCTGGAGATGAGGACACACCCCAGCTCCTTCAGGCAGCCCTTCTTCGAGCCGATTGCCCTCACCATGGAGGAGATTGAGGCACAGGTTGCAATGGGCACGAGGCCCCCCCTGGATAAGATCATCGGCCCGTTCCATGCCGAGGGGGACGGGAACACCCACTGGAGAAAGGAGGTGCAGACGTGGGACTTGGTTAGCCTCTTCTCCTGCTTCGGCCACACCTACTCTGCCAGGCACCTCTACGCGGTGTGGAGCCACCTGCCGATCACCGTCAGGTCCCACAAGAGAGGGGCCAAGAACAAGCAGCAGAACCTGCAGCGACGAGAGGACCACCGGGATTTGATGAAGGAGGCCAAAGATCATTTTTCGCTGCCAAGGTCTTCATCAACCGTACGCCTCAGGTGGTCTTGGATCTCCCTGTTGCTGACATCCATGACTCCAAGCAGCACATGCGACTGAGAGCCGTATGTGACGAAAGGATCACCCTTCCTTTGAAGGCCTTCCGCCACTTCCCGGAGATCTACAACATGCTCTCCAACTCGCTGGGTCAAGAGTCGGTGGTGGAGGTCAAGATGGCTTGGCGCTGCAACACCGTGCAGTGGTGGACAGCCCGCCTCAAGCCAGAGTACGCCGGCCCCATCTACCGTAAGCTTGGCTACTCGGAGAGCCACATCAAAGGCCTCGGCTTGGGGGAAAGGGACTCCTCAGCTGCCTTTGGCGCTGAAAGGATCCCCCTGGACCCGGCGTCGGAGCAGGAGCGCGCTCTCCCGCCCATCACCCCGGACAATGTCACGAGCGTGGCCTCGGACGACTACAAGAAGAAGAACACGGGGGATAAGACAGCCCACGTCTTCTGGGCCAAGATGGAGTGTGGCCTGGTCCTCAGCTCCGTTTCCCCGTGGGAAATCGTTGACAAGAAGAAGGGTGAGACTCGTGGGGGCTACGTTTGCCGCCACTGCAAAGGGTTCTGGCGAAGTGGCAGAGGGGCCAGCCGTTTCCTTCTCATCACGGGGGAACACAAAGGGAAGTCGGCCCAGCTCCAGCTCATCCTGGACGAGCCCCCCCAGAA